AGTGGAAAAAAAATTAAATCGCTACGTTCTTTGAAAATTTAGGGATTGCTTTCTGTTTTGTGCCCAATTTGAGCTGGCACTTTATAAAGTCGATGATTCATTCATTCTAAGTATTTTCGGATGTCATACAAACGTTTCAGTAGAACTTGATTAATCTCTAACAAACCATCTCACTAGTGCCTATGTTTTAAAGCAACATCAAAAGCCATTCATGCTAGGCATGGGAGTCATTCCCTCTACATGTGTCTCCATCTGACCGCGAGGAACAAGCCCCGTTAACTTCTGCTGTGAGTGACAATTGACCGAAAATAGTGGCTATCTTTAGTGTCTATACAAAAGCGGACTCTGATTATAGCTAAATGAGACAGTTCACTCACTCCAAGACCAATCCAGAGAGACGAGAAAGGTTTAATATATTATAAAGCCATTATGAATAGGTTTTCACTACCCACCACGTATATCATGTGTCTCGACCCCATTCCGACCAGTGTCGATTTTTTCTATACATTCTTGCGAAAACCATATACAACAAGTTGTCACTCACAACCAGAGATAACAAGGCTTGTTTCACGGCAAAATCACCTCGTAGTTGACTTCAGTGTGGTCGTCGCTTTATAACTGATTGTAAACGACTTTCTTGTTTGGAGATGTCTTGGCTTATTAAATACAACTAGACATCATCATTTTAATATACTCCAGGTTGATTTACAAGAATTTCAATTATTCAACAATCATTTGTCTTCGAAATTGCCATAAACATTGCTTTTCTATACAGCCATTCCCTTCAATACACTATAGAGGTCGAGAGAAAGCTTGTCCCCAATATTTCTTCAGTTTAGATCCCCTATTCTTCCTCACTTTGTTTATGTTGCAGGGGGAACCTAAAGCCTATTTTATTTACACATACGTTTTCTTGGGAATTCGCTCCCACAAAGCTCCTTATTTTTCGGTTCAGGAAGCCGTAAATAAAGAAAGATAGAAGCGGAATCGCTGGGGATCCGATTACTTCGTTCTGTTCTCTTCGGAGGGGGGTGGGGTCGTGTACTGGAAGGGGGTGGAGGGAGAGAGAGAAAAAAAGGAGGGTAATCTAAAGGGTCCCCGCGGGTCTGAGGTAAACTGAAGCCAGTGCTGTGATGAGAGTAAAGGGAATAAGCAGTGGGAAGCTGACGCAGCAAAATCGTGGGCTCTCAAGCGCATTAGTGGATGTTTATGCGGTTTAGCTATGCTATTTCAAGTGGTTCCTACAGATCTATTGCTTAGAAAGTCAGAATGCAGTAGCTAAGTCGAAGAAACTGAAAATAGGGAAAGAAAGGTGGTTTTAAACTATCGCAATCATTCTCAGTAGAACGGAATTGAATCATTTAGAAGCTATAATAATTTATATATATATTTTGGGGCATTAAACATTATTAGAAGTTTAATTGATTTTGATTTATTACAATAATTTTACTTCTTCCAAGGCAAAAAGTGAAATATAAACAATTACAACATGAAATCTTCCAATTTAAAACTTTGAAATTAATTTCAGTTATTCGCAATTAAATATAACAACAACTAACCATGGCCGTCTGCCTACTGGCAGTCTCCGGAACAAGAGATGTTTTCTCTTTACGGGATAGGTCATATTAGACCTGGGACCTGAATGGCCGAGTGTCTAGCGCTCGGTGCCACATGTTTCGGGTTCGCGTCTCGGCAATATGATGGGTGTTTGTGGTGGTTCGGAATCTGTTTTAAGCCATTAGTCCCGGTCTCGTATGTCACAGAGCCCAGTCAGACTTCTCACCCATGTCATTCCCAAACTGTATAGGGGCAGCTCAGCTTTAGGCACTGGGATGTGGTATGGTGTAGTAGTAGTAATCATATTAGATTTAAAGACCTAGCATTTAAAGTCGAATTAACCGCAATCATCCATAGCACTACTGGGACTCTGGACCGAAATCTGTGGTCCTGAGCTCCAGAGCGTTTGTCATTTAGCCATCAGACGCCACAAATATAACAACTATATAATTAATTATACTACTGAGGAAAAAAAAATTACCTGAAACCCTACAACACGGGCAATATTTAACACTCCTTTTGCTCAGCAAGTTAGCGAATTTATAATGTTATTTTAAAAGGATATGTGAGATTCGTATTTCATTGAATTTCATATATTCTGCAAATAAAACAGGAGAAGCGCGTGAAAGGTAAAGGGGCAAAATATTTTCCTACATAAGATCTGCGCTATCTTTGCAAAACGCACAACTGTTTTTTTTTTTTTTTTTTTTTCCAATGCAGCTGGCAAACAGATATGGACGTCTTAGATGCCTTAAGGCAAACGCTGCACAGACGTTACTCACTTTGCATTACCCAGGGGGGGAAGATAACTTGAATATAAGGAGTAACTTGAAGATAAGCCACGGACGCGGAGTAACAATGCCCCCGCAACGCCCCAGACCGGGACCTACAATTTAAAGTGGATTCCGAACCACTACACACATCCTTGGCACCGCCGGAACTCGAACCCGAAACCTGTGGTACAGAGCGCTAGCCACTCGGCCATTCAGGCCCTAAACGCACAAATGTAACTGAGAAAATAAGTATGGATCTTGAAAAAATGTATTGTGACTAATAATTCATTGCTTTTGAAATTTGAAAAATTGTTTTAATAGTCCAAAATTAGGTTAGACATGATTGAACCCAAAAATGCTTTAATCGATATTTGAATCGATTAGACATGACCAGACAACGATCATAGAATTTATTCGAAATTAAAAAAAAAAAAAAAAAAAAAAAAAAAAAAAATCTTTAATTTAATTTAACCCACACAATTTATTTTTGAAATTATTCTAATAAAAATGAAAGAAATTTTGTATGCTCGTGCATTATATGTAGCCTGATGGCTGAGTGACTAGCACTCGGTGCCACATGTTTCGGGTTGGATTTCCGGCGGGGCCATGAATGTTTGTAGCGGTTCTGAATACACTTTAAACCATAGGTTCCGGTCTCATATGACTGTAGAGCGATGAACGTAGGGCTTGCAACCCTACACCGTAAAAAATAAACATCTGTCGGCACGAAATCTGCAGAAGGCCATGGCCTGTTGTGCCAATGTTGATGATAATGATGGTGTATTATAAGCTGAAAGGTTTTCAATGATGAAAACAAGATGACAATGATAATCCGTTTGTCAGTATTACCGTAATTTTCTTTTACGTAATAACATTACACTGAAGTGACAAAAGTCATGGGATACCTCTTAATATCGTGTCGGCCCTCCTTTCGCCCGGCGAAGTGCAGCAACTCGACGTGGCATGGACTCAACAAGTCGTTGGAAGTCTTCTGCAGGAATATTGAGCCATGCTGTCTCGATAGACGTCCATAATTGTGAAAGCGTTGATGGTGCAGGATTTTGGGCACGAACAGATATATCGATGATGTCCCATAAATGCTCGATGGGATTCATGTCGGGCGATCTAGGTGGCCAGATCATTCGTTGGAATTGTCCAGAATGCTCTTCAAACCAATCGCGAACAGTTGTGGCCCGGTGACATGGCGCATTGTCATCCATAAAAATCCCATCGTTGTTTGGGTACATGAAGTCCATGAATGGCTGCAAGTGATCTCCAAGTAGCTGAACATAAGCATTTCCAGTCAATGTTCGGTCCAGTCGCACCAGAGTACCAAGTCCATGCCATGAAAAAACAGCCCACACCATTACGGAGCCACCACCAGCTTGAACAGTGCCTTGTTGACAGTTTGGGTCCATGGCTTCGTGGGGTCTGCGCCACACTCGAACCCTACCATCAGCTCTTACCAACTGAAATCGTGACTCATCGGACCAGGCCACGGTTTTCCATTCATCTAGGGACCAACCGATATGCTCACGTGCCCACGAGAGTCGCTGCAAAGCGATGTCGTTCTGTTAGTAAAGACACTCGAGTCGGTCTTCTGCTGGAATAGCCCAAGAAAGCCAAATTTCTCCGCACAGTTCTAACAGACAAGTCCCTTGTACGTCCACATTGATTTCTGCGGTTATTTGACGCAGTGTTGCTTGTCTGTTAGAATTTACGACTCTTTGCAGACGTCGCCGGTCTCGGTCGTTAAGTGCAGGCGGTCGACCACTGCGCTGTCCATATGGGGGATGTTATGCCTGAAATTTCATACTCGGCACACTCTTGACACAGTGGATCTGGGAATGTTGAATTCCCTAACGATTTCCGAAATGGCATGACCCATGCGTCTAGCTCCAACTAACATTCCGCGTTCAAAGTCTGTTAATTCCCGTCGTGCGGTCATCATCACGTCAAAACCTCTTCACATGAAAACTTGAACAGAAATGAAAGCACTGCGCCTTTATACGTGTTCTACGCGATGCTACTGCCATCTGAAAATTTGCATATTGCTATCCCATGACTTTTGTCACTTCAGTGTATTTTGTTAATACTTTTAGAATTCTTAGTTCCTTATAAATTAGAGTCAAACATTTTTAATGCTGTTAATGAGGGGAAAAAATCTTTGTATGTATGAAAATATACTTCATTTCATTTTATAACATAGCTGCATGAAAATAGGAAATATTATTATAGATTTAAACAAAATATATTTAATTTTTTTTTCAAAATATACAAAGAACAAATTATTAGAACCACAAATGTATTATAAAAATTCATTTATGTATTTAAAAAAATATTACCTATAAATATACATGAAAGTTAAATGAACATGATATAAAAGCTTCGAATACTAATGGAACTGTATTTGAAAACTATGTAAAAAAATTTCAGAAAACGAAAAATTGAGTAAAAGTATGAAGATAGTAATAAAAATCAACTTAAGAGTTTTCATGCAGTAAATTACATTAGTATATATATATATATATATATATATATATATATATATAGTATTTCAATAATTTAATACATGCACTTTCAGAAATGTATATAATATATTTGCAAGCGTCGGGAGCTTTAATTTTTAGAAAACAAGCTCCACGATGAACATTAAAAAGTATAAAAACCAACGGCCGTACCATGCTGAATATACCGGTTCTCGTTAGATCACCGAAGTTATTAAGCATCATTGGGCGCGGTCAGTACTTGGGTGGGTGACCACCTGGGAACACTGCGTGCCGTTGGCAAATTTGGGACCTGAATGGCCGAGTGTCTAGCGCTCTGGCGCTCGGTGCCACAGGTTTCGGGTTCGAATCCCGGCGGTGCCATGGATGTTTGTAGTGGTTCGGAATCCACTTTAAGCCGTAGGTCCCGGTCTTCTATGACTGTAAGAGCGTCACGGAGCAAAAGTCAGGCTTCTACCTACGGGTGCTCCATCACAACAGAAGCTGCTTCCTTCCCCTTCAATCATGAGTCCATATGGGCTTGTGGGCTTGGCCAGCCAAGTGGGATAAGAAACAACAACAACAACAAAGGTATAAAATATTTGCTATAGGCCATACTTGCAAAAAATACATAAACAAATAACAGGATTATAGCAACAGTATGCTTGCATGAATTTATTTGCATTCAAATTAGATTACTTTTTTTTAAATAAAACTTAAAATTCTCTTCGTTTCATAGAAACAAAGCCATATTATTTTTTTATTAGTTGTGTTTAGATTTTAATACTTGTCGTTAGTTAGTTTATATTATATTTGTTATTATTTAGTTTTATTCAGAAATTATTTTATTTTAAAGAAGGTAAAAATGTATAAACTTTATAGCTTGAAAATTAAATTTTAGAAATTATGCTCAAAATGTTGTATGAAACATATTCTTCTAAAATAAAATATGTATTACTAAAATATAAGAAATATAAAAATCATAAAATATTAGAAATTTTACGTAAAATATTATATGAAGGTACTCTTCTGAAAGCATACTCTTCTGAAATAAAATATGCATTCATAAAATATAATATTTGCATTCTATACATAAAATATTTTAGAAGAGCTTGTCTTCATAAAATATTTGTCAAACTGATATTTATAACTGAGAATTGATTGATTTGATTATTGTAGAATCCATGATTTGAAATGAAGTTCAACGATTGTGTAAGATCAAACATTGCCTTATATTTAATTTGCTTTATTATAAATATATATATTGATATTCATCAAAGATATATAGATTTAAAAAAGAATTAAAAATAATTATTGGATATAAAATTTTTTATTTCATATAAAAAATATAAAAATTGTAATAATAGAAAAGTTCTAAGTCTTAAAAAAAATTTTCTTTAATGATTGTTGTTTCTTTTAAATAATTTGTTTTGACAAAAAAGAAAAAAAAAATCATGCTTTTACACAGTATCATACTTCTTTTTTTATTTCTGAAAAACTTAAAAAAGTTTTATTCAAGATTTAATAAAACTATTTTATTTAAAATAAATAGCTTACATTCTAAAGAAATCTTCTATAAACATCAAATAGTAATAATGTTATGTTAGTTTTTATAGTAGATAAAACTTTTATTGAAAAAAATATATATTTTCATATTAGTTTCAAATATGTTATAAAATATTTAAAATAAACAGTCTTTTATATAAATGTTTCTTAAATAAATATTTCATAAAAAATAGATTTTAACCTTTTGTATAAAATGTTGAAAAGAAAGTTTATTTTTATTATAGTGAGTAAAGAATAGTCTTTTAAAGGAAAATAGTAATATTCCTTTTATACATAAGTTTATTAAAAAATCAGTATTATAACTTTTTAAACGAATTAGTTTTGCTTTTTAACTAAGTAAAACTGTTTATGTATGGGATGCAATAAAGAATTTTCTGAAAATAATGCCAAAAATAATAAATTATAAAACACTGTAAACAAACGTTTGAATAGTTCGATTTTTCAATATTTATTTAGTTAATTCTAATTTAATCTTTTGTGAAGATGTCTAAAAAATCTTATTTACAAATTTATTCAATAATTTAAAAATCATAGTTCCTTTAGAAATGAATGTTTGTTTTATATAATAATAATAATAATGTGTTATTGAAATAGATGATATTGATTTTTTTTTTTTTAAAGAGTTTTTCAAATTTTTCCTTTAAAGCCATGCTATTAAAGAAATTAAGTAAATCACTGAATTTAATAGTATAAGCGATATTTAAATGTTTCTAAAAAGTAATTTATGGGAAAATATAATGTTAAAGATGCAATGAAATTTGTCTTTTAATTTATTCATATTTGTTCGTTTATAAACATTTATTTCTTTGAACTTTTGAAAATTATTAAAAAAATAAAAAAAAATAATAATAATTCAAAAATTTTTTCGAAATTATCCAAAAAAAAAAAATAATAATAAATAAATAAATACATATATATTATATCGAAAAAGTTTCCATGGAAGATATATTTAAAGAATACTTTATTTAATTCATCAAATCAATATCTTTTGCATTCAAGTTAAAAACTTTCTAATAAGACATTTTTTAATCTCACAAAATTTCAAGCTCTTCTAAAGTCTTCTTTATTAGCTCTAAAGTCTTATTCTTTAAGTTTTCCCCTTAATTTGTATTTTTAAATCTAATCTAATGTACTTTTTTCTCCTAGTATGAGAATGAGATGAAAATTACTTAATACATTATTCCCAAGTCATTATTACATTATTCCCAAACCAGTTACATTGATTGGATGTGAAATACGTAACGTCTCGGCCTATACAAGATCTATAATGGCTTCAAGAAGAGGGCCTCTTTCAGGATGATGGAAACACTTTAATTTTTATTTGCAAGCAATATATTAATACAAATATAGAAATTTTGAATATTATGACTTATTATTTACAAAGATTTAAATTTGATTCCCAAATGCACTATTATTATCACAAGTACAGTTCATTCGAAGGTCAGATATTTTCTTCTCGAGTTTACGTCGGATTTAAAAATACGTGGTCTACGGCAGACTTTAATTATTACACTGCGTGATATACGAAACTACAAGGGACTCACTTTGTAAACAGGAAAATCCGGCTTATTCAGTCACTTCATAGTAAAAAAAAAAAAAAAAAAAAAATAAAAAAAAAAAAAAAAAAACTTTTAGTTGACTCGTCGCGGATAAGTTCACCAAAAATCTTTTTTTAAGACAATCCAGAGGGAGGATGGTCAGCTTTCTTCACTACTCATTGGAGTAGACATTTCTCATCTCGTGTTCTATCACCGATCACGGTGGAAAAACTCATGGTATAATTCATATTCAATCTGTAATTGTTTCGACTTGTGAAGATTGCACAGACATTCGCTTGTTTCCTGAGTCTCATTATGCGTGATACCGAAAATCTGCTATCATATTTGGGTGACAAGTTGTTCTCCTTAGTACAAAACTCTAATTGCATGTAATTTAATCTCTCACAATAAATCTCGCGTGCTGTGAAATGGGAGTGATATGCTTATTATATACTTTTCAAATAGCGTACATTCCTCTCTCCTGGGAATGAAATGTCAAAACTCTTCTCGTGAAAAAAAAGGCTACAAGTACTGTAATAAAGTATCTGAATATCATATTAATATCACATTAATATCATATGTTATGTGATATATTTTTATCATATTGTTTAAGCAATTATTAGAACATGATAAAATTTAAAAAAATTTGTAGTATTTTAATTAAAATCCTGACATAACTACAAAAATATATTTTAATAAAACACATTGATTGATATTTCAAGGTAAAAAAAAAGGGTAAAACCTTTCATTAATTATTCAAATACTCAAAATAGGGAAAATACTTTTCTGGTTAAATATCAATTGTAAAATAAAAATATGATTAAATATCAATCAATATGTAATTGTTAAAAAAAAATAAAAGTAATTTCATATGCTTCAGAAAATTTAAATAATATTTGTATAATATATTTAGGATTTATTTGATTATTAATCCAGTGAGCAGGTAGAGGTGAAGGATGTTTATGGTTTGACTGAGGTTCGTGTGATCTCGTAAGTAAATTTTCAATTTTATATTTAGAATTCAGCGTGAACAACAGCTGATATGCTACGGGGTCCAACAAAGTAAGTTTTGTTTACCAAGAGAATGGGCAACAGCAGTTCCATATTAACCGAGAGAGGGCTTTTAAGTTAACATTTTATAGTCCACATTCATATAGACATTTTTTTGCAGTGAAAAATTGAAACATAATGAGCTATTTTTTTTGCGTTTACTCTTATTCTTACTTGTAAACATGATATTATAATATTAATAGTACTAAATGCATATTGTAAAGAATTTTTTTTTATTTCCAATGGCAGGCTACAAAAAGCAATAAAAAAAAAGGGGGAAAAAAAACAAGAACAGAAAAAGCAATAAAATAAATTAAAATAAAAATAACATGAAAACAACAAAGAGAATCGAAGGAAATCACATAGTAACATGTTGTTGTTGTTTCTTATCCCACTTGGCTGGCTAAGCCCACGAGCCCATACGTACTCATGATTGAAGGGGAAGGAAGCAGCTTCTGTAGTGATGGAGCACCCGTAGGTAGAAGTCTGACTTTGGCTCCGTGACGCTCATGCAGTCATAGGAGACCGGGACCTACGGCTTAAAGTGGATTCCAAACCACTACAAACATCCATGGTACCACGGGGTTCGAACCCGAAACCTGTGGCACCGAGCGCTAGACACTCGACCATTCAGGTCCCAAATTTGTGAATGACAACGGCACGCGGTGTTCCCAGGAGGTCACCCACTTAAGTACTGACCGTGCCCAATGATGCTTGACTTCGGTGATCTAACGAGAACCGGTATATTCAGCATGGTATGGCATGTTTGGCATGTTTGACATGTTTAGCCCATAAGGTCCCTAGCCTCCCAATAACGACCATACACAGTAGAGGTTGTAAAGAAATATATAACATTAAAAATGAAATATAAGAAATATATAAATATAAACGAAATAAAAAAATTAAATCATTCAAAAATATTTATTTTACTAGTGCACTATTAATTTTCCCATTCTTTCACTTAATTTTTGCAAATCGATCTGAATTTGGGTGTTTGCACATTGTAATTGGTGTTACATATTAGCGTCCGTTATATTGAGAGTGTTTTGTGTTTGTTCAATTTGATTTTATCAAAAAACGATTTGCAGGTGTAAGTTGAACCTAAAGCGCTAACAATTTCCACTAAGAGTCTGGTTTGATCTGCT